CTGACCTCACCTTATATTTTCAGCTAATAAAGTAGTTATTTTTGGTCAATGGTATACCAAGTTTGTCCCTTTCATTCCACTTACAATGATTCATCAACTCTGTCATTCCAGACACTATATAAGCGAATCTCTCGTGGTTGCAAAGATCGGGTAATGAAGTGCTTGTTTATACTTGGAATAATACATATTTTCTTTATGTAACCTTTTGGGCTTTATTGGTACCTTCCTTGGGTTAATCTATGCACTTATGACATGTACTGTCCATCTCATATATATATATATAGTCCAATAAAAACGCCCGTCTTATGCTGCTGTACCGTAACCAGAGCTAAGTTCATCGTGGTATAGGTCCACTAGGTGCTGGAAGTACATTATGTTCGATTTGCCCTTATTCTTCAAGAAATACTGAAGGTAAAGAAGTATGTGTTGTGATAACAATCCATCATAAGTCTTACAGTTTTTTAGCCGCGGCATAGTGGCTCATAGAATGGCTCTGCGTTTCTTTTCAAGTACAACCTTTTAGCTCATAGCTCTTTCTATTGGCTGATTTGAGATCTAATTACAGTCGTGGCTATTGAAGATTATCTCTTGTTAGTCGAGGTGAGATTTGAGATTGTAGTGGGTATAAAGATGTTGCAACTCCTCTTCATGTCCTTCAAACCAGTTACGAAGAATATCAGCATGGTGGATGGTGACATTGTAATCTTGAAGATACCCATCACCTTGAAGACGAAAATGGAGCATAAGAGTTGGCAGTTGAACGCAAAGATGCTCAGAGCTTCACAGTATGTAATGTAATAATTCGAAGAAACCAAGAAATCCAGTCCATGCTCCGAGAATGCACACACACACACACACTACATCATCTTTCCCCCTCAAACAGCTTGCACAATGGAAAGAACACACAAAGGTTGTAAACTGTTTTGGATTATCCCCAAACTTTGACTTTCTAATCTGTACAAAGCAGCGTTATCAAGAATCAGTTGACCACATAAAACAGTTCCATTGATCAACAGTCCAAGTTGATATGTGCGGTGTTTTGGGCTTAATTGCTGGAAAAGGTTTTTAATATATTATTCAAACCAACAGTGGATCACGAAAATGTTATTTCAGCTGGTTTGTATCGAAGTTTGTATACAACAAAGAAAATTTATTGTACAATTTAATAAGAGTTACAATAATTTTTGTTTTGCGACTGGTGATATGTACACTCTACACAACCTATAAATAAGTAAATACAAACCCCCGAGAATACGAATATACCATCTCCATGACATAATGTACAAATAACACTGATTTATAAATACATGTATAGCTCGGTAAAGACCACAAAGTACAAAACGCATTCAAAAACAAAAATAACCCAGAGGGCGATCAAAGTCAGCGAGAAATAGTAAAGTTACTTGCAATACCACTGTCTTCAGTGAATAGGGTGATAGGGTATTTCCAGTCCCTTTGGAAATAACAGTTTCTGCACGGTCTTGGCGTTCAGTTCCAACAGAACGGACTCTTCATGCTGTGAAGAGATGTGTAGAGAGCGACCCAAGTCAAACGACCGCTACTGTTGCAATACCAGCAGAAATTATCTTCATAGAATATGCTGAAGGACAGAGTAATTATTCGGACTAAGCAGAAGTCCTTCTCACTTCGGACATTATTGTACGTTGATCACACCCTCCTATCTTTTGGGACTCTCGGTTTCCCAAGGATTCCAGATTTGAAAAATGATCGGACAGTGGACACACCTGGGTTTGGCGACTATCCCAGAAACTTTCGATGGACCATCTGCAAGCCACAACAAAATATGACGGTACTCTTGGTATGGTGCCAGTGCCATTTGGGCAGCTGTTAGTAAGCGAAGGGACGGTCACTGTTTTTTTGATGCATTACAATTATCGAGAAAGAATTACCTGTCTAAACAATGACTAGCTTACCAGAAAAAGCAATTCTTTCATGCAAGATGGGACTTCTGATCAATTAGCCCGAGTCACAAAATATTCACAGTGGCTGTAAAAAAACACACACAAGTTGAAACATCTCTCCCCCTACTGGCTTTTCTTCCTTCGTTACTTACGTTTTGTTAGCCGTGATATTCGTAAATGATCAAATTTCATGTGATCATAATTAGATGTGATAGCTTGGACGATTCTCTCGTGGCCAAGTCAAACGCGAATATGAATCCTATCGAGCAGGTTTTTCACCCTTGATCTTTCCCTGTGAAAGCGTCGGAAACAACCAACATCTGGGGCCACCTTCATCCAAGCCAACATCCCCAAATTTCACGTTTGAGCAGGTAAGTCTGAGGGCTTATTACGCTAAAAATCAGGCTTCGATATTCGCGTGGGGCACAGCAGAAGTAGCCCATAGTGTAGCTTTTCGCTTAACAACCAAGAAAAAGATCTTGTAAATAAAGTTTGTAACCGTGTCTCTGCCTCAAATATTGTAAAGGGCAGGTCCATTAAAAAAACAATATAAGCATTGTACCTTTTGTATAGCATTTATTTATCTAGTAAACGGAGTTGTTTCTGGTGTGGGTTTTTATTTAATTATTGGTTGGATGTGTCTATGAATATGTATATGAATATCTATTTGAAAAATTAGTACTTCAGTAATCAATCGCAAACAATACTTTACACTTAAAAGGATAAGTGGAATAACCTTTCAAATTCTAAATTCAGAAGGAATGAAAACTTTTACAGGTAATTTTACGGTTTATTCAAAACCATCCAAGGTGCAAACAACCACTAAAAACTACAGACTTTAGCTTTCTATACAGGAATAAAAAATTCAACTTTATAATGTTTTTAAAAACAAACGATTTCTAGAAATTACAAACAAATGCTTCTTATGATTAAATAAACACGATACATTTTGTTAACTACAGTCTAGAATGTGTTCAAATTAAAAACAAAATAAAATTACGGTATATTAGTTAGTGTTTCACGCCAGAAACCCAACTGTAGCCTTAGTTAGCCGGTATATTAATTAGTGTTTCACGCCAGAAACCCAACTGTAGCCTTAGTTAGCTTACGGTATATTAATTAGTGTTTCACGCCAGAAACCCAACTGTAGCCTTAGTTAGCTAGTGAAAGTAAGCTGCATTTCAAATAAATGTACAGAAATTTAGTTTTAAAGAAATAACAGAAAATTAGCGATTATTAAAATTACTCTTTTTCATTGGATGAAAATGTTTTGTATCTGAATTGTTTAAGTAATTAATATTTTCTTTGAAAAGTATCAATCCGTATTGAAAAATTAAATATCTTTCTCTATTGCACGTTTAGCAAAAATTATCAAAACACTACAGTTATAAATAAACGGAAACCACAAGTTGATACCCTCCATTATTGGCTTTTGTTTCTTCGTTACTTACGTTTTGTCAGGCATGACATACGTGTAGGCTCGAATTTCATATGATTATGCTCAATGCCATGTATGATAGTGGTAGAAAAAAAGTAACCTAATACGAAATTTGAATCCTTCAGACTGACGAGTTTAACGCTCATTATCCAGTAATGCGAGCGTAGGACACACCCAGCATCAGCTGTCAGTCAGTATTTGCACGGTTTTTTCTTCAAGCGTAAGCAGCATGATAACAAGAAATCGACGACGAACTGCTTACAGCTTTTCAAATTGGAAACTGCTTTTGATCCCACACCAACTACACTGATATTAATACAATTTATATTTCATATAATTGTCCGTTAGTATGGAAAACTATATTATACATTTCTGGTTTATAAACTTTGCAGAATTCGAAATGTTAGAGTATAAAATATAGGAGATAATTTTTTTACTAAAACTTTATGTACAGTTATGTGTAAACTATTACAACGATTAAAACCATAACTAGAATTATAATTTTTTTGACTATCAGAAAAGAGAGGTAGCTACGTATTTCAAAAACAAAATAAATCAATGAAAACTGTAAAATAAATAGGTCATTGCTTGTCACAGAGAATTGAGTACGTTATATTAGAACAATTTTTAATGTGCAAATTACGTGACAAGTCATGTGACAAACACAGTTGCTGTAAATTCGCTGTGGAACGGCATTTACGAGATCTACATTTTGATATTACTTGGCGTTTCGTTGTAGTGTGATGCTACCGAAAAATGATCGCTTTTGGGAAGGGTATGTAACAGCTCTTTCCGACGTAAAAATATTCATACATTCAGGTCATAAAAATGTATTCAAATTGGGGATTTAAATTTCTAAGAGGAAGATACGCCCTTTCACTTAAAGACCACCCGAAATAAGTTTGCAACAAGTCGTACCTCAATCGTGTTAAGTAAAGTGCCGCGTCTTTTAACAAATCAGAATCCACGAACACAAAAATCATTCATGTGCCCCAGGCAACAGTATTCGACATACTTAAGAAAGACTCCCATCTGGAAATGCGACACAAATCACTTGTACACAAGTTACTTAAACGACACATTCGTTCAACCGCCGCATACTCCAAATAGTTGGAGAATTAAATGGATATTCATGCTATTCTATAAGAAGGCGCATTATGTTTTTCTGTGCGATCGGGCTGTTTAAATCGACGTTGAGAAACCGTTGCCTTCGTATACTACATGAATTATGGAAACCTGGAGGGAGTAATGGCGTGTCGGCCCTACAACGGAGCCTTTGCAATTAAAACTACGCTGCAGGTTTATTGTCAAGGTACATGGTCGTCAGATTGAGTATGACCGGACGTGGCGACACAGAGTGTAACGACGTGGTAAGGCTACTAGATCGTTGTAATATAACTTAATCTACCTCTGTATTTTGCGATGTAACTACAAATATATTGAACTAATTAAAATTCCGTAAAAAATCTGTTGAGATATTTAAGTTTAGTTATTTATAATCATTGTCAGATTCTTTGTTTAAATAACTGTAAAGATAAAAAAGAAAGTTGCGACACAACATATGTAAACCACGCAGTTGAAAGCTAATTGTAATGTTGTTTGCATTGTTAAAAAACTAGAGTTTGTAAGTAGCTAGATTTTCTGAGAAACTGGCCAGTCCTGTTTATAAACATGTTATAACTGACAAGCACATTACATGTAGATTAACTACAAATCCTAATTTTACTGTTCAAACAGTAATAGATATTGAAAACACTAAAGTGAAAAATATGGTGGTTAGGGCGCTGGACTCGCAATCTGATTGTCGCGGGTTCGAATCCTTGTCATCGTCCATGCTCGCCCTTTAAAACTGCTGTCAAGGGCAGCCAACCGAGTGTAAAAGTTCTTGGCTAATACAAAATACCCAAGCGGCTGACCTCAGAACTAGATTGAATTGAGGTCGAATGAAGAAGAAGACTAAAGTGAAAAATATAGTCAGTTGATACAATCGTCAATCCAAGGAAAACTCTTAACTCGCTCGAAGAAAGGTCTAAGGATGAGATATGGACATTAATGTTGTTGTTTTCTATGTGTGGTAGCAAAAGAATAGAAGTTCAGTAGTGCTCTTGATGACTGACTTGCGTTCTGCCAGTGGTTTACTTTAGCAAAACTGCTAAGTGTTCAATATTTTGCTCGTCTCCGAGGGCAGAGAATACTCATCCAACGTATAATAGTAATTCAGCAACATGTTAGCTTGTCAGAGTGAACTTAGATTACGTTTATAGAAAATGACCAGTAAGAATACATCAGAGAATGTCTTCTCTAGTTAGAGTGAACTTAGATAACGTTTATAAAAACTGGCCAGTAAGAATACATGAGATAATGTCTTCGCTAGTCAGAATGAAAATAGATTATGTTTATAGAAATTCGCCAGTAAAAATATATCAAAGAATATCTTCACCAGTCAGAGTGAACTAAGATTACGTTTATAAGAACAGACCATTATGAATACAGCAAATAATATTTGCAAAGGTTGGAGTGAATTTCGATTATGTTTACAGAAAATAAATTACATAATTATTTACTTTTGATTTTTTATTCTATATTTCTTTTTGCAACATATTCAGATGTGTTCGTACTTCACTAACTACTATTGTAATTTGGGAAGAACAAAACACATACGATTTATTTTAAGTATACAAATATATCAAGTTAATGGTTCACTAACCACTATTGTAACTTGGGAAGAACGAAACACACGCGATTTATTCTAAGTATATAAACAGATCAAGTTAATGGTTCACTAACCATTATTGAAACTTGGGAAGAACGAAACACATGCGGTTTATTCTAAGTATATAAACAGAACAAGTTAAGTAGGTTCAGTGCCAAGCAGAAATTGAGTTTTCCCATAATTAAACACCTTGGCTGAGATCGGAAAGAGTAGCAGTTTAAGAACAAAGGCTTATTTTTACAATGATTTAGTTTGTACTTCCTATTCTTGTTACATTTGGCACTCTGTTTTCTTTGGTCTGAGTTTCTTTCTAATGAATGTCTCTGCTTGATCAGCTATGACGCATGCCTTACCATTTTGTACGTTTATCAAGATAAGTTTTTCCTTGTTTAAAGAAGAAATAACATGCGTATTGAAATATTGATTTCGGCTTATAAGCAAGTTCCATTTTCAAAATGAGAAAAAAACGCATTTACCGATTAACACTGGTATTTAGTTTGATCTCTCACACAAATCAGAGTCCTTCTATTCTCTCCATAAAAACAAACTCACCAAACGTTCCGGTGGTCTAATAGTATGCATAGTTCACTGGTTTAGAACAACACTACATGTTACCAGATTCCTGTTCAACCTAGCCATAGCAGAGATTTTCAATAATCAGTGCTTTCTCTACGCTCTTGTCACCGATTTCGCCTGTAGGAAGTACAGTGTTTCCTCGTTGTGGCCAACACTTGTTCGTACGGTAAAGTGTCCCCTCGAGCCTTTGTTACATGAACTTCAAAAACATAACTGTTCCCGGGCTTTAATCCTCTCACCTTTTGCATGATCAGGTCTTGGATTCTGTGTCTGCTGTAACGATTATATCTACGACACATGACTTCTTCGCGATTGTATCCATGTTCGTATTTTGGTTCGCACGAAAAAAGAGGCATAAGGTTTCTTGTGTCGTTACTTTGGTAGATACAGTACCTTACCTTATCATCGGAAGAAGCTCGCCATGCCAGCATCACGGAATCACACGTGGTGAGAGAATCGAAAACTAAGATCCTCTTATCTTTAGGAAGGTCTGGAAATGGAAACTTCCAGTATCTTCGGCTTACAAAGAGCTGTACTTCTCGAGTTTGACGGACCAAGGAAGACACAGTAAAAGTATAAGTACCATTAGGTGCATCATTGATGGACAGGGTTTCTGTGCTCATGACACGGGTGTTTAGAAGAACATTCCTGTTCAAAGATACTTCAAATTCAACCGGTCCTGGCCCCATACAGGAACGAATAAAGAAGTATAACACAGGCGTCTTTTGTCTGAGCGTATAAGATGAGACGGAAGAGAAGTCGTCCGATTCTTCTAGTTTTAAAGTTGTCAATGAATGATCTCTAATTCTTCCACTTTTCGAAACTTTTGTCGTCGTGCTGGCTCCCAAGTAGGCAATACTAGCATTGTTTACTGGATTGACAGAAAAAACGTCAAAGAAGTAAGTGGTGCCCTCTTGGAGATCTCTGAACATATGCCAAGTCTTCCTACCGACACATTCATAAATTATATCTTCCAGAACTGTCACAGACTTTTTGATACCCCGGACTTTCATTAACAGCTTCTTCCGGGCAAGCTTTTCCCACCAAAAGCCAAACCCCGCCCATGGAGGTGGTGTTGGGGGTATGTCCCCATTGATGTCAGAATCCACCTCACACTGCGTCTTGTAGCTCTTTCTAGGGTTCGCCGATACACAGTATTCCACCACCTGATTATGCTGAGATTCCGTAGGACTTATCATCCATGTGATTAAAACGCGGTTCCTTCGAACTTTTAGAATTCCAACGCGTGGATTGGAAGGAAGAAGTGGATGAGGGAAATGAACCCCCGGTTTAGTCGAAACAAAGATCTTCACGCTGGTATCATTGCCATGCGAGTCCATTTCTAGCATGTACAGCCCGGCATAACTGTTGAGGTTTGTGTAGGTCCTTTGCTCCTGACCAAAGTAAGTTGCTTGAAGAACGGAATAGGAGGGAGCTACGTCACCGCTCGCTATGTCATTCTGTTGGATGTCTATAGAAAAGACGGAGAGTACATACATTACTTCAATAGATATCACATATGAGTATAATTCAGGTCTCGTTAAAGCTGAAAAACCACCACAAATAGTTAACTCTTTTGCTGCCATGTTTGTAGATAAACAACTCTCCCAGTACCAGGTAAAAAACAGAAAGACACGTGTTCTAATATTTATAGATACACACAATAAAAAACAGAAAGACACGTGCTTTAATATTTCGTTATTTATCTGCAAGTTAAAATTGGTAACCTTTGAGAAGTTTGACGAGGAATACCATTTCTTCATTGTGGTACACATGGCCGTGTTCTAAAGGGAGACTTATATATACTCAAGGCAGTCAAAGAGTTAAACACACTATAGATGCAAACAGTTAAAGCATTGTGATGAGAATTCTATTCAAACATCAATACAAAAACTTAAAACTCATATAATAAGTACAGATTTTGTGACAATGCTTGGACATTATATATGTGTATATATATGGTGAGAAATGGCGCCCACTGTCCTTTTACATTATATAATATACATAAGAATGATAATGTATATACATATATAACGAAAAAATCAATAAGACTCGCCTATGGATATGAATGAGAAAACATTTTAAACATTTTAATGAATGTATTTTGAGAACATTTAATATCCTAAAAGAACCATATTTTAATGTTTTCTCTTTTTTAGGCATGAAAGGTAAAACATAAAAGATCATTTTTTCGAAAAATATTTTATAAATCTTTCGTGCTCCTTTAAATAGAAATGTGTAAGAGGGCAGAAGTAACTGGTTGTGTAATGTCAGTAGGAATTGTGAAACCGTGAAAACAGTTACTAAGACTTACAGAAAAGAAAATAGTAAGTGAAAGTATGAAATTATAGAATAAATAAATTACATTTCAATAATAATAATAGGATAAAGTATAATTAGAATAATATTTTAACTTAAAAAGGAAAGTATATTGACTAATTTTATTTATTTTTGAACATTTTTAATGTACTTAATTTATACGCTGAGTGTATTATATGTTTGTACGTTGGGAAAATATAGGTATTTAACTTTTAGATTATTTATGTATAGTTGAAAAATGTTATTTGTATGTTTTTGTTATAGATTCTCAGTAAAATTATATCCTGAAGAGTGACCTTTGAAGTCACGAGACCGGTTGAAGAAATTAATAAAGGAGAGAAAAATAGAATAGTCTGATATTTCAGTGTTTTATTATATATAATATCTATCACTTTACATTACACTGTACAGACAGTATAACGAGAAAATGTTTTTCACCATTTTTTTTACATTACAATATATACATATGAACATAATGATATACGTTTAATGAAACAATCTCCGCTCTCCAGTTAAATTTGACATTACACACAAATACGACGACATGGACTAGACCAAAATGTCTAAGCAGATTGATGTAATTCCTTAAACAGATATATAATTAATTATGCACAGGTTCCCTTTTTTCTTGTTCTGAGAACACTGACCAGTTTGGGTGCATGATACTCTAATTTCCCGCCGTTCGAAAACAGCATTTCCATTTCATTTTCAGGTTTACTGTTTGGTTATTGTTTCTGATCGGTGAAGACATCGATATAATTTTTTCTCGGAAGTATAGACTAACAGGTTGTTCTTATGTAAGAAACTAGACAAATACAGCCAAAGAAAGACAACTCCATTTTGGTGTACCCAAGTCTTTCGTTAGGAAAGACCAATCAACTTTTCATAGACTCCTTGAGGTCTTATGACATCTTGATTAATTATTGATGCCTCCTTCAGTTACACAGCACATTTGATCATTTGTCAAAATCACTAGAATGGGCAGCAGTACCGTTCGGCGCGTTTATTGTTTATAAATGAGTTATTAAGGTTCATATTTCGACCAATGATCAACGATTTCGAGTTTTGAGAGACAGAGATGAACAGTATAATTATATTGTAACATAGTTGAACGCCGAGACGGTTCAGTTGTGGCGTTAGTATAAACTGGTTTACAGATCTTATTGGAAAATCCAGCGATTTTCAACAAGACTTATACTTGCTTGACTTTGTTTCTGTATTATACCCTCCAGGAGTGAGGACATGCTCATTTCGAGGGTGCTTCCGAAACTTGTAAAAGTTAGTACAAGTTGGGAGTTTATCACCCTTGAATATATGTAATGGGAATGATCTTTGACATGGTAGTCGAGTATTGTGAGATGGAGCACTAACTTGTCTGACTTGAAAGGGTTATTATAACTATTCTGATTCCTGGTTTTGCGTTGTGCAAACGTTTGGCTTTCCTGCTCCGACAGCTATGAAAGTCTATATAACGAACACTGGAGCAAAGAACTCAGTGTATTTTATTCGTTCACTTGTGTTTACTTCGTTTCCGTTACTAGAAAATCTAAATACCGATATGTGAGTTTGTAAAAAATATCAGACACATTCTCTATTTCTGATGAAACACGAGAACATCTACAAAGGATAAGGTATTAACTCTTATTACTTTCAAAGGTAAACGTTTCACCTCTTAATTTATCGAATTCAAAACCCCAACAAACTTATTGATATCTTGAATACCCTTCCATATCACAAAACAACAGTCTAAAAATATGTTGTTTTTTTTTACGTAAGCTACAAAATTATCTTGAAAATGTTAGGTAATATAATATTAAATAATTGTATTATTCAAAAAGTTATGTCCTGAGGTGGGAACTTTGAAGTCGCGAAACCGGTAAAAGGAAGTAGAGAGAATAAAAGACAGAATAGTAAAGTATAGTTGTGTTTATATATATATATCTTAAACAATTATTTGAGGAAAATTTGTATGCGTGTGTGTATACGCTAATAACTGGCGAACCTCTGAACCGATTTTCTCAAATCTAACATGTACCCTTCGTGTTTCCACGGGGTATTACACAGGGAGTCGGCGTTTGGATCTGACCTCTTATGTCACCTCCTGCGGGCCCTATGCGCTGAACAGGTACATCAGCTAATATATATGTGTGCGTGTAAAGAAAGGTGCCTACTCTTAAGTACATTTTGTTCAAACATTATCACGTTTATATCTATATATATTTGATCATATGTACAAAATATCTCAATCTTAGTTCTTTAAATCAAGTGGAGCTCATGTGTAGCAGTCATACTTTTGTGACCTCTTTAGATCACTCTTTAAGACGCCATTTTCAAAGTACTTGATGATTTCGTGTTGATTATATTAAGTGTATTTTGAGAACTAAGTCATAACGACTGAAAATATCCTTAACAACGAGTGTACCCACCTGCTGAAACAATACACCCTAATCTTTATAAGGAGAAACGTAAGAAAAGTATATTTAATTAGTTATACTGGTTGCCGAGTTGATTTTTAGTTTCGCTCTAAGCACATAGCTTGCTATGATCGGAAATATTAATTTATACATCCTACTAAGTTACTGCGAGATAGAAAGTTTAATATTTTTCTTGATAACATACTTTTTAAGAAAATATAGTCTCCAGTAAGGTTTCTAGCAACGTATAAGAAATAAAAAAGTTGATTTAACTTGAAAGACTATATCAATTTATACACGGACATGTTAGGATAGAGAGTTAGATGTAAAATAAACATATCAATTTCCTTTTTTTTATAAGATCTACGAACGAAACGTAATATCAATTTAAACACGGACATGTTAGGATAGAGAGTTAGATGTAAAATAAACGTATCAATTTCCTTTTTTTTTATAAGATCTACGAACGAAACGTAATATCAATTTAAACACGGACATGTTAGGATAGAGAGTTAGATGTAAAATAAACATATCAATTT